TTTCTTACATTGCAATGAACTGAACAGTTCCTGCCCTATGAGGGCGGTTGAGCTTGGTGAGCAGAGGTTTGACCTTGATGGGGTTGTTTGCCTTGTCCGCAGGGTTTTGTGGGGGGTCCATGCACAGAAATGCAGTGTGCCAGAGCAACCTGCAGGATAACAATAGGTCTTAGTAGATGCCAGCGTTTCCAGGTACCATTTCAGTGTGAAGGTGTATGTGTCACACTCAGAAAACACAGGAGCATCTCTCTTTTCTTTTCTTTTTTTAAAATTTCTTTATTGATTAAGATATCATCTCTTAAAACAGGACGTACAATGATGTCTCCAGGGCATAGGTCTAGGCTTCTTTTGCTTCCGTGCTAGTTGAAGTGATTGGCCAAAAAGGTGTTAAATCTTGGGTCTCGGGTTAACATTTGTTTGTATGTCCTTTTCTGCCTTGCTCGAGCGTGAGTTTTATTTTTTTGTTACTCAGTGGTCATGCTAACATTTAAAATATGTGAAATTTAAAAATAATTGGTACATTTAATATTTTAAGAAAACAGCAAAATATGAAATTTAAAAATAATTGGTAAATTTAATATTTTAAGAAAACAGCAAAATATCGGAAGGGATGTTTGGGGCTAAATTTACAGTTGCTTGTCCCGCGGTCTTGATCTCTGTCCATTCCAATATCCTACTGCCGCCCACGCTGATCCAGCTTCTCCTCAGGGAGGCATGCTTTTTTGATCAATTTAAAAGTAAACAACTCATTACTTGTTTACTTTTCTGAACTCTGACAACAGATTTGCCCAAACATGTACTCCTTGCTCTAGGCGATCTTACCCATGTTTTGGAATTTTTATGTCAACCTTATTTTAAGCCTTCCAGCAAAATGTTGATTTTTTTAAAATACACAAATTTTGTATTTGCTTTTATTAAAAAAAAAAATTGTATTTGTTTTGTGTGGGGGGTTTTTTGTTTTGTTTTTTAATGCTAGGACAGTGAGGTAATAAGACGATTTGAAAGTGTTCATGGTGTTTATTTGGTAAACTTACAGGTTACTTTAATGAGGAAAGGAAGAGGTGCTCTCAGAGAAATATTTGGCTGTTTTTAATGGTGGAATTAAACAATTTCTCATTTGCTCTGTTTCATTTCATTCATCAAACTAAAATAAAGCAATGTTTGACTATTTATGCCTCAAGATTGATTAGGAGGTACTTTTTAGCAGAGACATCTTATTACGTCTTTTGACCTGTCACTAATGTCTTGTACATGAGGAAAAATAATGAATTGTTTTTGAGAAAATACAGTATTTCCTTGGGAGAGAAAAATAGAAAGCATTGTTGAGATCTTAAAAAATTACAACCACATTGTTTTTTTATCTGTTTTGTTTTTATTTCTTGTGGTAATTTGAATTGAGGCTCTTTGACTAGAGCTTCACTTTGACAGGGAATTTATAGACTTTATACGTGGCCATCTGAATAAATAGTGCATTGAAATATTTCTTGATTTGAATTCTTTAAGATTACAAATATTGAACATGGCTGTAGTTTACTAACTTCGTCAAACTGCTCCAAAGATCTGGGATAATCTGAGAAAAATAACCATCTTTCTTATTGTGAACAATTTAGCACTTAGTATTGTAGTATTAGTTTTTATTGTAGGTTCTTGTCACTCATCAGCACAAGCACTTCTGAAAGTCAGTGCCTCTTTTACTAGGTCACCGAAAGGACCATGGGAAATCAAAATTTGCCTAAGACCATATTTTGAAACTAAATATAATAATATAACACCTTAAATTTAGTTTGAGAAATTTGAACATCTTCTTTACAAGGCTAAAGTGAACAGTTTAAATTTTTTTTTTTTTAATATATTTTATTGATTTTGTACAGAGAGGAAGGGAGAGAGATAGAAAGCTAGAAACATTGATGAGAGAGAGTCATCAATCAGCTGCCTCTTGCACACCCCCTACTGGGGATATGCCCGCAACCAAGGTACATGCCCTTGACCGGAATCGAACCCGGGTCCCTTCAGTCCCCAAGCCGACGCTCTATCCATTGAGCCAAACCGGTCTCGGCCTAAAGTGAACAGTTTAAAATGTCTTTGAATTGATCAAAAATGGCAAATATATTTACCTATCAGTATTCTACCCATCAATGAAAGGACACACTAATGAGAGGGTATCCATTACAACACAAGTTATAAAAGGAAAAGATTATAAGTAAGGCATTTGTTCATGTAAAAAGGACTAGTTGAATAAACACTGAGGTGGTGGGGGCCTCCCCGAGGTGGAAATGGGGTGGGTGGGGTCAAGCAGGGAAAAGGAGACATGTAAAACTTAAGACAATAAATTATTTTAAAAATTTAAAACAGGAACAGTGCAAATAAAAAAATCAGGATACAGAGTGGTATACATTTTATGCTTTTTTTTGTATAAGCAGGAATTAGGGTGGATAAGTATTTACACACACACACACACACACATACTGGAAGAAGATACAAGAAATTAATATAAGCAATTATCTAAAGGCATTACAGATTGGCAATAAGTTAGGAAAAAATTACATTGACTTAAATCAAATTCAGTAATACACTACCTTCTGTAATGAAATATCATGATAGTGGCCAATATACTCTTATATGCCTTTGCATAAAAACCTGAGGTTATGTTAAGGTTGATAATATTTCTTTACTCTGAATAAAAAAACAATATTAGTGGCCATTTGTTCCTTATCACCCTTCATTTTGGGGAGGAATAAGTAAAAGAATGCTATTTTCCATTTGACTCTTGTTTTTCATGTGACATTTACTTTTGTAGTGTTCCCCTCGGTCCCGGTCTTTCTAATTTTCTGACAAAATTAATGAGCTTTGACTTTTAAGGTTTGAAAAGAAACAGGTGGTCTCTGCTTTTCAACCCCCAAGTATTAAAACTGGCTTAATATAGTCTGTTAAGAATTACCATGCTATGTACAGTAAGAAGTAGAAAGAAATGTGCCATGAAGAAGACATGGATAAGGTCAGGGAAGGGAGGAGAATATTTCCTCCTTGGGAAAGGATGAGGAGGGCATAAGGAAGTCTGCCTGGAGGCAGTGGTAATTTAGAGCTGCCTTCACAGATAGAGTAGAAACGAGGGGACAATCAGGGGGATGACACTAGGGTTATTCTTATGACACTTTTATAACATTTGCTGTTAAAATTAAATATATCTTGAATGAGAACATTTGAAAAGTTTACCAAAGCTCCATGTGGATATGAAGATAATAGAGATTAGATGACAGTAACTTTGTGCTTCAAGTCCTTTCCCCACCCCTACCCACCCTCATCACACCACCATTCTGGACACAGTCCATCACGTTCTTCTCAGGCAGCTTATGCCGCTGGCCCCCAGTCCATGGAGGAGCCATGACTCCCTGGAAAGATGGTTGTAGTGTCTTTCCCTATTGCAGGCTGCTTAGTGTTGAGTTTCCTCTTTGCCTAAGGACACTCTGTAACACTACTTTTCCTCTAAACAAGTAAGATAGGAAAGGAGGGATGTTCCCCTTGGGCTGCAGTTATCTGGATTATTTGGGGGTGGGAGTAGGGAAAACAAAACAAAACTTGTGTGTATCCCAGACATTTTCTGTCCCAGATATTTTGCCTCTTTTCCCTCAATCACATGTTCTCTTGAATAACTTGGTTTAAAAATGAGGATTCACCCCCCAATCTCTTAAATTTATTTAAGAAGTTCTGTAAAGCTGTCAAATTATGCAGGACCTGTCTGTTGTTACTGTAACCTGCTCAACGGAACGCTAGACAAATAACTTTCATGGGCTTCCACACTCATCTCAGTCCTTTGGCCACTGCTGTCTTGGAAGCCGAGACAGTGGGAAATGAATTGTGAGGACAGGTTCAAAGAGTTGAAACTATGTTGAAAAAGCTGTCTGCCAAAAACCAGTGTTGAAGTCTTAAAATGAAATATTTTTTTTATTTGAAAAATAGTTAACATGAGTTGCAGAAAAGATGAATCCAAAGAAAGATCGGGTATGTGTAAAACTGAATTTTTATACATTACTCTGTTTCAGTAGATCATAATAAAAAAGCAAAATGAATCCTCAAGAGAGAGGATCTCCCTGTCCTCCCCAATTTGGGCCCATTTTTATTTTATTTTTTAAACAAAACCAATCAAACCATTAGAATGGTGAAATAGTGAAAATGGGTGGAAAGATGGAAGCTCGCTTCAGTTCCGAGGCTTTAAGAGGGAAATCATAAAGATGAATAAAGACCCACTGCTGACCGGACCCTATTGTGGGCCCTTGATTTGTCCATTTTTTAGAGTACTAAGAGTTGTACAGCATCCTTAAAATAGAAAATTAAAATGCCTTCACGTGTTACAAGAACATTCAGAGAAAGGAAAAGCATAAAAAAGAATTAAATTTTTTCATACTTTCTAATCTTTTCCCTTCTTCTATAAAACAGTTCCCTTTTCAAAGAGTAAAATCATCAAACATGTAGCCAGTTTGAGATCAAAAGAAGGCAATTCCTCTAGACTCCCAAGAACTTTTAGTTTAACAGCTGAAATAAGTATTCAATACAACTTGTTCTACTGCAGTTTTTATTATTACATAATAACTCTATCAGCACGGATGGTCTCCCATTGCTGGGAGGTGCTTAGTGTCATAAACGTGAGTGCAGATCAGGGAGTGCTCTAAAGAGGTGACCGTGTGAAGATGCATGGCATTTCAAACACTGGCTTTCATGTTCTGTGCATCTGCCCGGATGCTTTCCTCCTCCTGCTTAAATTGCCGATTCTGACATCCCGTCAAATCCAGAAAAAATATTGAGTTTATAAATGATTTGCTCTTTATGTAACCATGGCTTAGTGAAGACAAAAAGCTATCAACACAATCTTACGAGACACCAAAAAGTATCATATTTTCTGAGAAACGGTTTCAATAGTCACAGTCAACGTTCATGCCCTGGTTTCCACCTCCTCGCGTCCCTGGCCATGTAAACCTGCTGCCACACATGAGCGTTTCTCCTACCTGTGTTGGCTGGTGCCCACGTGCCTGTCGTTGGCTGCTCTCTAAAGCCACTACTCTGCCATCGCGGTGGGTTCTTCCTTCAGTTACACACAGTCAGAAGTTCATAGGTGCTGCCAGCAGTGGCTCCAGAAAGAGTAAAAGCAGTTCCCTGCTTACTTCCAGAGCCTTTTGGGGTCGTCTTTGAACTTTATACCTTTTTTTTTTTGTGCACAAAGCTCTGCTGAATCATATGCTGGCTACCAAGTGATGGTCTGCCTTCTGATTCATTTCCAGAAGAAAATAAATTTCTGTTGTTTTCCAGCAGCCGGTGACTCTCTGAGACGCGGATGGGGGCTGGGGAATTCCATTTTATTTGATCCCATGTGTTAATGCAAGAATGGAATGACACCTTGGCAGGAACCCTGGCCTTGGGATGGCTCAACGAGCAAATGCTTCGGAAGTTTTAACCAATAAATCTACAAGATGTGTGCATTTTAGGAGGAGAATTACTTTGTATCTGACTACTGTTAGCAATGTGAGGGAGTTAGAAGACTGGCTTCTTATGCTGTTCTTTTGGGATCAGTGATATATTTTTTTAATACACAATTATCTCTGATTTTTTTTATACCTTTACTGATTTTTATTCTAAAAAATAATGTTCCTTTGTATAGTTTTCTTTTTCTTTATCCCCCTTGAGATTTGCAGGGTTTCTCAAACGTGTGCTTAAGACCATTGATTGATTTTTGAAAAATTCTGAGCCATTACCTCTAAAACTATTGTTTTCTTTTTCTTTCTTCTTTCTGGAATTTCAGTTACACATATTTTAAAAGACATAGATATAGTCACTGAGCCTTTATATCTTTTACGACTTTTTCAATATTTTCTCTTTTTTTGTGTCTGTTTTCTTGTGATCTGATGTCTAACATCTTTTCTTTTTATCTCTTTAGCTGCATCTAGTCTGTTTTCGAGTCTTTCCTTTTAAACTCTTAATTTTGGTTGCTATATTTTTTAGATCTAGAATTCCATTTAGTTCCTTTTACATTTTGTAATTCCCTGGGGAAAAAAAATCTTAACTTTTATCTTGTAGCTCCTTGCATTTACTATGGATAGAGGAAAACTGTAGTGTAAGGTCTGCCTCATTATGTTGATGATGGGACCTGTGCATCAGGTCCCATCGTCTGTTCTCCCTCTTGTGTGTTTGGTTTATTTTGTTTTCATGTTACATTGCCTCTTTGAAGACCTGATTTTTTTTTTTTTTATTGATATCAGTTATTTCTTCTTTTAAACAATTATAGAGAAATTTTTATGTTAGTTTTCTTCAGAGAGAACTTAGCCTTTGCTTCTGGCAAGCAGCCAGGGCTCTAGTAGTCTGGATCATCTGATAGAAATAGTTCCTATTCCTACAATTGCTGTGGATATAAAATTAAATAAGAAATGTCTATATAGTGCCTGACTTGTGGTAAATAATAAAACACTGGTCACTTTGTTGTTATTATCTTTAAATTCTGAAAAGGGTGGATGTACAGAAATAACTAAATCATTCCTATTTCTCAGGTTGTTGAGAATATAATGTTAAGTGAGAAATGTATGTAAAGGGCCTGACTCGTAAAGTGAGCAGTATACTTGAGCTATTATGTTTTTAAGTTATCTTGAAACACCTGAAAAGGGTCTATATTCAGGAGCAATTAAGAACTCTTTGTGGATAGAGTCATATTTCTCAGCAATAGGTAAGCCCTGGCTTTTGCTGGACCTCACGTTCCCAAAATCCAGCCTTACCAGACAGCTTGCATGCTGTTTTTCAGTGTACTGTATAGTATGTTGTGCCTCTCAGTTGATCATCTTAGAAAATGTTGCACTTCCCACACATCCTGCACGCCCAGCTCCACCCCGCCCCCTCTCCGCCAGTATCCTATCCTTATCTATCAAGGCCAACAAACTCCAGCTCAAGGTCATCCCTCTGTGGGGCTTTCCCTGACACCCATTCTGTCCCTCCTAATTCTGTGACTGACCTCGCCCTTCACCCTCTATGGCCTCATTTTAGCCTATTATTATCCTAGTACTCGTCCTTGGACTTGGTTCATGGAGTCTGTCTCTCTTTACCGGCTTATAACATCCTTAAAACTAATGAGCATTCATCTTTTTCCTTCAATCCCCAGCACAATACCCATAGTAGGTGTTCCCTAAGTGATTGCTGAACCAATCAATAAATGTGTGAATGGCCGAAACCGGTTTGGCTCAGTGGTAGAGCGTCGGTCTGCGGACTGAAAGGTCCCAGGTTCGATTCCGGTCAAGGGCATGTACATTGGTTGCGGGCACATCCCTGGTTGGGGGTGTGCAAGAGGCAGCTGGTCGATGTTTCTCTTTCATCGACGTTTCTAGCTCTCTATCCCTCTCTCCTCCTCTCTGTAAAAAATCAATAAAATATATATTTTTTAAAAATAAATAAATGTGTGAATGAATTGTTAACATAATTGTCACCACTGTTATGGTTTCACTTATTTTAATCTCTTGAGGTCTTTGTTAATTATTTGCCGAGGTTGTTATTTTACATAGTACAAGTCATCAAATCAAATCAGTGTGTGTGTGTGTTGCTCTGGCTTAGAAGAACCTTCCTTTGGTAAAGGGGTTTGAGGCCAGGAATTACAAATAACTAGACTATATATTACCCTATCCCAAAGGGTAATATATAGTCTAGTTATCAGAAATTTGGAATATACTTTCTAAAAAAGTTAGAAAGACACTGATTGAAGGCTGCAGTGTCGGAAAGGAGAAGTTATGTTGTGGAAAGATGATGAAGGAGAGAGAGAGCAGGCTTCTTGCTCTAACACTATTACTCTTATTCAAATCCTGTATGAATTTAAACAAATATTGGGCTTCAGTTTTTTCCATCTGTAAATCAAGGTGGTTGTAAATTAGTTAAAAATTTCTTAACCTTTTGTAAATTTGTGATCCCTTTCAAGTGTTTATTATTTTTATGTGTTAAGGTATCAAAAATAGTCAAAAACTATTTTCATGTCTGGATGTTTAGGATTCCTGCATTTTGACCTTTAGGAAAATCTGCTTTCTTTGTTCCTGTTTGGTTTCTAAGTGATGAGTTAGGAAAGAATGTGTCAGGGTTCTACTTGCAGGCATTTTTCCACAATCTCTCATTGAAGATGTAGATAACCACTTTGAATAAAATCATCTTTACATTGTTTCTTTTAACATTTTTCCCCCTGAACTATCAGAGAAAATCTTGATTTGTTACATGAGACATTTGATCAGATGAATACAGTTCACAAATAAAATTTATTTGGGGTGGACCTACCGGGGTTATTTTTGTAGCCTTACAAAGGGTTCAGCCTTCTGAAGAAAGAAGTTGATGCGTAGATTCAAGAAGGAGTCTAAAGTCAAAAGATAATTTTGAAAGGCATTGGGGGGTCAGAGAATCTTTAGCTAAAGGAACTAAAGACTACTTTTGTCTAAGGACCCCATGCTATTTATTTAACACAATTTGTCCTAAGGCAAGGTGGAGATATACACTTCAAAGGGTAAGGTTTCAAAGGGTAGAATACAGAATATTATCAGTTTGGGGAATAGCCTATAGCTGTTCAGGTGTTTGGCCAACAGGAGGCAATACAATGCCCTGAGCTGTCTGGCAGCAGACAATCCTATTCAGGTTTGAGGGAAGTGCCGTTTCGCCACTCCAATAGGTAAACTGCATGTGTAGCTCACCCTTGTTGAGCCACCCAAGCTTCACCAGCCTTTTGGTGAAACTCTTGTAATTATTACATGCTGGAACTGGTTCCCAGCAGGACTGATAGCATTAGTCATTTTTACATACTTCCATAATTTTCTAAAGTTCAAAATTTGTGGTTCTTATGCATTATCTTTCTTTGGCGGTTCATCGTGTGAATAAATTAAATTCAATCTACTCAAAATAACTGAAAACACTATTAAGTGTCAAAACCATAGTGCCTACTAGCAGTGTTAGAGGCTGCTCATTACCACTCCCTAGAAGTACTAGTACACATCAAGGTTCTCAACATTTTGTTTTAAAAGGCTACAAAATTGAAGCTTAAACATTAGGAAGAAGTTGGCACATTTGCCTTTAACAACCTGAAACTGAAATTCCTGCATCCATCTGGGGTGGTGGCCAGATGATGTGCAGAAGTAATGAAAACACAGAAGGTGTGTCTTCTACCTGCATGATTTTTGTGCGGCAGAAAAGAATATTCTAGTGATGTTGTATGAGAGGATAGTCATTCTAAACAGTATCTTCATGCACATCACCTGTCCCATCCAAGCAACAGTGCCAGGGACGATGCATGAGGGGAGAACCAGACACAGGTCAGAGAACCCACTTGGTCATCACTTTTACCAGACATATTACTTCTGTATTTTTAGTTTATTTTCTGTTGGTTTATAAACTTTTTGGTTCAGAATAATCCCTGGATTTACAGATAAGTTAAAAAAGTAATATGGAGAGATCCCGTGTACCCCTCATCCAGTTTCTTCTAACATTAACATCTTCCATTGCCACAGCACCAAAACTGAGGAACCAACATGGTTTAAGGTCCATTACTGTGAATTAAACTCCAGACGATCTGGATTCCACCAATTTTTCAACTAATATCCTTTGCCTGCGCCAGGTATCCACCCAGGATATCACATTGCATTTAGACATCATGCCTTATTTTCAGTGTCTTCTGGTTTGTTACATTTCTCAGTCCTTTCTTATTTCCCATGACCTTGGCAGTCTTGAGGAGTATTCGGCCAAGTATTTGGCAAAATGTTCCTCCATTGTCTGATGTTTTTCCCATGACTTGACTGGGGTTATGGGTTTGGAGAAAGACGCACAGAGGTGAAAAAGTATTCTCATCCCATATCAGGCATATATGCTATCAGTATACGGTCACTGATGATGCTAACCTTGGTTACCTAAGCGGCATAGCATTTGCCAGGTTTCTCTACTGTAACGTTACTGGTTTTCTCCATTTCATTTTCTGTTCTTGGAAGCAAGTCTCTAAGTCCAGCTCTCGGTCAAGTTAAACTCCCCTGCTTGGAACAGGGGAGAATAACTTACTTGGAATTCCACTATAAAAAAAAAATTGCAGACAGATTGTTCTGACCACAGTTAGACTCTTCTCCAGCGTTACTTCTGTCCCTCTGTCCTGAGGCAAAACATGACATGCACATTCAATGGAAGATTCAACTCACAGTGTGCCCAGGACTAGATGGAATATATTTTTCGCCACTGATTATAAGACTTAGCGTGTAAATGTTAAGTGAAGAAAGTATTCCCCATTCTTGCTTGCTTTCATGATATAAAGGCAATGAAAAATAACAACTGATATGGAG